AACCCAAATTAGCTTCATTTGGAGACTTGGGATAAAAGGATTAGCATCTTTAATCCTTGTTTGAGATTGAAAACCCTTGGAATTGATTATTGAAACGTGAAATCTGATTAGGGCACACTAATAGGAAATCTTGGTATATGATTGAGATTGGATTACTTTAGGACTGAGAATTGATCCTAAAGTGTTGTTTTGTATCAGTGCTCGCTGTGGATTCAGACTGAAGGGGGCTTGAGGAAGCGGAAGCCGGAAAAGGGCAACGCTAGTCCCAGGTTTGATTGTGCGAGGTAGGATTTCTATCCCTTTTCCTTGTGAGCCTGTTTTCAAAAAAAAAAAGATTTTGGCCTTGAAGATGTTTTAAAGAAAGGGATTGATTTGTGAAAGAGAATGCTTTGAAAACCATGGCTTGTTTAGTCATGGAACCTCATAGCTTGTCCAGTCATGGGGCCCGCGGCTTGAGTAGTTCGTGGGGTCATATGAACGATTTCATAATGTTAAATGGATGATTTCTTAAGATAAGAGGTCTTGTAAATTGGTAATAGAGTCTATTTCTGTAAGCCTAGATAGGATGCGGAGAGTGCATCCTCGGGGGCAGAACCCGAAACCGGTCCGGGTAGGCGAGGCACTTGGTTAGGTAAGTAATTTGTACTAATTACTTGCTGAAGCCTGTGATATGGTTATTTTCAGTTATATTTCCTTTGAGAAAAAGGATGTGAGGTTCTGGCTGTTCTGTCGGGACTGAATGTCTTATTTTATTTATGTATTCAATTATTCATTCATGTGCTCATTTATTTTAAATATTTCAAATTATATCCTACTGGGCCTTTCGCTCACGTTTTATGTTTCAAATGTCTAAAACCCCTCCCAGGAGACTCTAGGAGCGGGGCACAGTAATCAAGTGAGGATTGAGTTTATCCTCTTGAACAAATGTAAGGAATTTGAGAAATTATGTAAACCTATTTAATATTGGATTTACTAGACTGTAGATGATGTCTATTGTAATTGATTATTTACATGTGCATGTATGTACGATAATGTATGTCCTGTGGGGTGGAGCCCTGTGTGTCAGAGGCTCCTGGATTATGTCGTTTATTTATATTTTTGTGCAGTTAAGTGTGGGACCTGGTTGGGAATCTGCTCTATAAATCCCAAATCGAGTTCCACGTCACCCACCCCGTTTGGGGGGCGTGACAGTAACCTTTTCTATCCCTCTTGAAATTGTTATGATGTGATGACATCCCTTTTTTGCTTCATTTATACATTATAAGTTAGGTTTTTACTTCATGATTTTTCAATTTATATATGTTTGGGTTTGTTACTTGCAGCTATTTCCCTATCACCTTGCAGAGTATGTTTGCCGTGTAATGAGGATATCACCTTTCAGATACTATTGTGATATGATTTTTGAGGTATGAAGAATGGTAATACTTGGATATCACCTTTAATGAATTTCTGCTGTATATTGTTGTGATGCAATATTGAACCCTTTTGATTTGAGTAGGAGATTGACCCTGGATGTTTCATCCATTTGTAATGGTTCTGATTGTATGGCCTGCTGTATACTCTGTTTTGGAGTACTGCAGAAGATCATGTGGAAGCTGAACAAGTCAATTGCAAAAGAACTTTTACCTACACAGCCAGTTGATTTTGCAATTGAACCATGGTGGGGAGTTTGTCTCGTCAACTTTACATTGGAAGAATTTAAGGTGAGAATTCTAGTGACTAGATGTGATTAGATTATTCACCCAAGTATCTTTCGAGACTAGGTGATTAGATAACATGTGTGCTTCCTAGTCATGATTTGTAATTGCTGTCAAGCTTATGTTTTTTTTTGGTCCTTTATAGAGACTATCGGAAGAAGAAATGGCAACAATGGATAAGGTATGCAAGGAGGAGGCAAATTCTTATATCCTATTTGTTCCCGACATAATTAAGGGTCTCTATCGGTGGGGATTGATATCGAGGGATTTGTTTCCAACAGGGAGCAGTCATATGAAGATCCTATTGAGGAGTAAGGCAGTGTTTGAATCTAGTGATACCTCTAGTACCATTTAAATACAATTAACCAGCATGGAAACTGTGTGCTAATACTTTTTATTGCATGACGATTTAGGTTGCTATATGCAGTATTTGTTGTTTCAAGTGAGAATTCAACTGTTGCTGAGCTCACAGCAACTTTACAGGCTGACCTTTCATAGCTGCAGGCCGCTGCATCTTTTGCATGTCGATTGGGATGGGCAGTAAAAGTAATTGATCCAGCGTCTATTCTTCAAGACACAAGCGTGGGATCTCTTGCACCTGCAACTTTAGAACGGTTGTTTCTTCGTGATTATGATATTGTTGTAGCAGAAAAGCAGGCCTAGCAAGTATGGCTAACATGGAGCAAATAAATGCAGTTTCTTTTTCTTTTCTGTTATTGGTTCCTGATATTGATATATGATATAGAATGCCTTGCAGTTGGAGTCGGAGTGTTCTAGGCATTCAGTTGGTTGTATATACTTTGTCCTTGGCGTGATTATGATTGAAATTTATTTCTTGTGAATAGATGTTATCTGAGCGCCGGCGAATTGAAGCACCATCTACTCCAGCAACAGAGAACAGCATGCCTCCACCACCATCATATGAAGAGGTCAGCGGTCTCTTTGCTTCCGAAATCTATGATGGATCAACAGACAATGTGGATTATTTCTTGGGAGAGGTAACTTATTTACTTTTATATTTTCCATTTGCCATCCACGAATCTTTTCCAGTTTTGGAACTATTGAGTTGCTAACTATTTGTTTCATGTCTGAAGGTTGTGAATTCATTCAAAGCTGTAACTGATGTGGAGTTTAGTTTGTCTATTGGTGATTATGTCATTGTCCGGAAGGTTCTGCCACCTATCTTTTTCTATGTTTGCATATTTCATTTTAGTGAAAATCTTGGAACTTTTCAATGTGTTCCCATTGCTAAATTTCCAATATTTTCCCCATTACATTTTGTACAAGCTATTTTCTTTCTATTTTATCGCCTTTGATTATACATTTTAATACTAAAATCCAAATCCATTTATTGTTTCATCGTCTCTAATGGCAAAGATATTTCTGTGCTTGTGCAGGTCTCAAGCAGTGGTTGGGCTGAAGGTGAATGTAAGGGAAAAGCCGGTTGGTTCCCATTTAACTATGTGGAAAGGCGAGAACGTGTGCTTGCGACCAAGGTGGCTGAAGTCTTCTGAGGTTACCCAGTGGTGGAGCTTTTCTTACCTTTGTTTTTATCAGAAATTTTCATCTCTTCTATTGGTAATCTAGTGGTAATTTTGGAGTTGGATTTGACTTGTCTTGTTAATTGGTTTTATTTGAATGAGCCGCAAATACATATGTGAATGTGGCTACGTAGTTGTGAATGGTGTAACTAGTCTTTGCTTTGTCTATATGTTAAATGGTGGAAGTTTTAGTTGAGTTTGATTATTGTTTTGATAGTGGATCACTTTCTTACAGGTTTAACAGTGGAGATGACTTTTTTGTGGAAGCATTTTGTCAAGATGGAAGGATTTACTTCACCATTGCACTTAGACATTTTGGAGATGACTTCTCTGTTTTCTTTACTTGTTTTGAATGTTCAGGTTTTGGACACTGTATGAATTATGTTGTAGACGTAATTTTATTGTCAGCTTGGTAGATACTGATAACAATTGATATGTTGAATGTTTTTATGTTTTAATTTGAATGTTCCTATTTAGATATATCACATATCTCGGAATTACCATTTATTTGAATGAATTTAAAAGGATATCAATAATAATTTTAAAAAGTTACAACAGTATGAACATAACAAGAAAAAAAAGTTATTAATCTGTATCGTAGCTATGCTAAAGAGCTGTAAGAGGATGAAAATAACTTTTCTTACACGTTATAATACTTCAATTCTATAGCACTTTTTATAACTCTCTTGAAACGTTATGTTTTCTTATGACTTATAATAGCGCCTGCTGTCCTAGCGCTCTAAAAAGCGCTATTGATAGTGATTAATAGCGTTTTTCGTCAGCTACGAAAGGTCTTTTGTGGTGTAGTGTTATATGTATAAATACAAGATATATAATATAGTAAATATTATATATATATATATATAATATAGTAAATATTTTATATTGATACATGTGATGTCATACATGACCACTCACTAAAGCATAAAGATTATGGGGTTATTTTTTTTGTATTTTTGAGTTAGGGTGATGTGAGTGATGATTTTAAGTTGAGTTTGAGTTATAACTTGAGTTGAGTTTGAGTTATAACTTGAGTTTGTGTTTGGATGTGCACAGTTGAGTTATGATTTGAATTGAGAATATATTTGAGTTTGTTTGGATGGGTCAAAATTTAAATTTGTATTTAGATAGTATTTTAGGCCCCATTCATTTTACCGATTCGAGTTTAAAATTTTAGTTTTGTTACAGTAAAAAGCTCTCAGAAACAGTCACATCTAACTTTTTTGCTACATAAAAAGCTCACATAAAGTCACATCTCAACTCGAATTAAAAACTCGAATCAGCGAACTAAACGGGCCCTTAATAAAAACTCAATGGTGATGAAAAATTTTAATAGGGTATATAGGTGAGGTTTTATTCGTCTTTTCATTGTAAATGCATAGAAAAAAAATCATCTCAATCAAATTAAAACGAAAATGTTATGACATTTTTAAGAATATAAAAAATATTGTTCATTAACTTGAGTTCGAGTTTATGAACTCGAGTTGAAGGGGAAACTTGAACTCGAGTTTAGCCCCAAATTTGAGTTTAAACTTGAGTTCAAACTTAAATTTTATAAAAGTACACGAACTTAAATAAAATTGTAACTCGAATTCAAACTTATTCTGAGTTTCGTTCCAAAAGAACAACCCCTCACTATCTCAAGTTTTCTTTTGATTAGAAGCAAAGCTTGCCTGGCAGAAAAATTAATAATAATGATAATGAAGCAAAACTTGCATGTAATGTGATGTGCTAAGCCTTCCGACTACACAAACTACACAAATCCTTTCTCTAAGGCCATATGGACAGGGCGAATGGGCCTTGGATAGGCCCGCACATTGTGAACCTATATGGACAAATCAATATACCAAGTTGGCCCATGGGCCAAGATGTGTGGACACAATACAGCTTATGAATTTTGATTGGTTAGGCGTGTCTTGATGAGCATAGGCTAGCCCACGAGCTCAGGTCCATAGTTGCATTTCTAAACTATGCCTATGCAATTCAGGCTGGATTGAGCCCGTAGGCTAGTAGGTTATGCTTTCTTTGTGGGCTAGATTACATCGGCATATCTTGGTCTCAGATCGGCCCACCATATCCAAAATGGCCAGCAAATCGAAGGCCCATTTTAATCCAATTTTGAATAAATAACATATATATTGTAATATTGTATATACACATATAAATATAGGACAAACATGGGCTTGGAAAATGGAGCTTTGTAGTTATATAGGACGTGTTAGTTTCGTGGATAGGGCTCGAATCAGCCCAACTCAAATTGTTGTTGCGGCCCAAGTTAGCGTTCGGTCGACTCAACTCGAAATCAAATTCGAGTTACAATTCGAATTTAGTCGTGCAGATGGGAATTCAACTACCCTCTCAATTCCCATTAACTCGAACCTTTCTCTATAGTTCCCCTCCATGTGATGGTCCTGACTTTTTCCTCAGATTCTCCTGTCCTCCTGACCGTTACTTCTCTTTCTCCTCTTTTCAAAAACTGCTATCTCCTCTCTCGACTCCAATCGTTCACAGAGATTCGCTGCCAAAATTTCAGAATTGAAAATTTTTTCCCCTCTGGTAGTGAATCATATTCGCATATCTGTTTCTTCTTATGAGGGAGGAACCCTTTCTGGCTTCTTCCCTCTGCCCAAAACGGCAAAAATAGCTGGGAAATGCAGTCCTTGACGACCGCCGTTGGCCGTTCTTTTGGGTAGATGTACCCGCAACCGGCGACGTAATCCCCTACACCGCTGTAATCAGTGGAGCTTTTTCTGTAGTCAGTATCGGTGGTGGAGAAATTGTGGTAGGGCATCGCCAATCGTCATCATGGTTGGGGTTTTTGCTGGAGGAGCACTCACATTCATCCACCGGATCTAACTCGGTAAATTTACTGACCTTTTCTCTTTGTTTTTCCATTTCATCCACCGTTCTTCTGTTGAAATTGTATGTAGCCTATGTTCGTTGCATAATACATTAATCGACTAGATTCCATAATAATTCAAGTCCAACCATGAAATGTTGATGTTTTCGGTGTTAATATCGCTATATCTAACCAATAACACAATCTTCCGTAACCATAAAAGTGAAAATATTTGTAACGATTTGCATGGTTCAGATTTTTACTTATCTATATACACACACTATGGACTTGGAAAAGAACTAAAATGTAAGGCAGAAGGTAAAGCAACGTTAAACTATAAGTGATATTCTTCGATAAAGAAAAGAAAAAAACAAACTGGTGAAGTCTTCTTTGGCAAGAGGGAAAAAATATTACTGAGCTTGAAATTAGAATTCTCTTTTTGTGAACTCCTGTGTTTGGATAAAAAGAAAAATGAAGCTAGTTAGTTTCCCATGACAATGATTGTTTGATGTTGTTCCCTAAGGTATATCGGTAAAGCAATGAATCTTCTCATCCATATATCTTCCTTCACTTTTTCCTCCAACCAAATAACATGAGGTAGTACCTTAATGGCTCACGTTTTAGCTTCTCCTTTTATGATGCCTTAGTTTGTCCTTTTATCATGTTGTATATCTTCAAAAGGCACATCTTTTAATCTGAGCCGCGTGTAATTAGAAGGGCAATAGCATCTGTCACAAGTATATAATTCGTTGGATTTGTTTGTCAGTTATACAACTGTGGAGATACTTTACTTGACTGACTATGGAGATATACATACATATCTGTTAGACATATTAATAGATATGACATGTTGAATATTCCAATAATGCTCATACCATGTCTCCGGTCTTAATATTACTCCCTCTGTACATATATGTTGTGTAGATGAACTCTTTGTTCTTATTGGATTTAGTACTTTGGCAGTGATGATTTTTTTGGCCACTCAAGTTTCGTTGTAGCGATATCCTCTTGGTGTCTGGCATTTATCAGTTGCTACTGCATGTAATGAGGTTTTGTTGGATTGAATGTCATGTGTTGTCATTTGTTATTGCATTATGACCTATGCTTTTAAATCCTTGGCCTATTACTATGTGGTTTGGTAGCATAAGTGCCATCCCATGAGGATAATGCTCCGAAACTATGATGATACGATTATAACCAAATTTGAGCCAATCAATAGATTATGTACTTTAATCCTCTTTCTTCTTTGTTGTCGCATATGTCACTTTGTTCTCGTGGTTGGTGGTCTTCCTTGTATGTAATAGATGCCATGATGGAGTGAGGATGATGTGACCTTCTATTGGTCTAAGAAATAAAAAATCACGCTTTTGACGCGCCTTGCGGAATACAATAAAAACAACAAGGGCCGTCAATCGGAATCGGCGGATTGGGAACATGGGCGAAAGATTTGTCCCCACTTTTTTCATCATCTATTCCTCCAGGCCGCGTTAAAGAGGCAAAGGAACGACTGAAGAAAACATTCAACGCGGAGCTCGCCCTTCGTATAAATACCAGACTGGATGGATCCAATCAAGAATAGCCTAACTTGCACTGACGAGTATTGGAATGATTTATGTGAGATCAGTATATGGCATACTTACTCCATAATTTCAAATTGTTATATGCCTTTTGTTCATGACATTTAACATGAGTATGAGATTATGTCAATATCACAATATGACTTCTAAATACCTATTGTCACTTTTGTATTCTGTTTTGTTTACTTCCATAAGTTTTTATTCTTTTTTTGACCCTAACCAACCTTAGCCAGATCAATTTGGAAGAAGCTAATGATATGGTACAGATTGTGGTATATAATTAAACCACACTTTCCCTGAACAAAGAGTAGGAACCCCCTTTGAATAAAATACAAGGAATACTCACATTCAAAAAAAAAAAAAAAAAAAAAAAAAAAAAAAAAAAAAGAAATGAAAAGTTGCTCTTCCAACTTGCTCTCCTGGAGGGTCCGGCCTTGTGGTCCGGCCTTGAGATCCTCTCCCTCCATGCGTGTATGGATTCTTTGCCTTCTTCTTTAGTTTTCATGTGTGTACATATTTTTTAACCTTTCTTTTCCTTGCCCTTTTTTATTTCCATATTTAGGCATAGATAGTGTGAAATTTTCAAGTGTTTGTTATTGGGGTGGTTAAATCAAGGTCACTTGAATTAATATGTATCCGTTCTGTTGTAGTCAAAATATAAGAAGCAAGATAAGGCTTGAAAGGCCTACAATTTTTTTCCTTGGTCTGTTGTAGTAATTATTGACAATTGTGATGAAAAGTAACTAAAGTTTGATTTATTTGTTTTATGTGTTCAACAAACACGCAAGTGGGCGAAGCATGCACGTAAGGATTCCTTTAAGAATTATGAGCTCTACTACGAAGCGTTTGCAAGTAGGCGTTCCCACGGTGCATTTAAAGTGGGTATGGATGAGAATGATGAGGAATGTGACGTGTCTGAGCCGCTAGTAGGGGAGCATGAAGTTGAGGGCGGCAATTTACACCCTTTAGAGGGTGATGAAGCATT